TCTGCACAAGCCGGAGACCCTGTATTTCTGTGGGGGAGTGTTGCCCCGGCTTGCCCTCTTTCAGGGGTTCCACTCTGGGACGGCAACTGTACTTGCGCCAGGGGCTCTATTGGCTGTTCTGGGTCCCCTACCGGCCCCCATGGCAGAGGGGAAGTTGCCGCCTTCCCCCGAGTCTGTGCTGATGGATGAACGAGGGTATAAGGATTAAAGCAGGGCTGGCCTAAATGGATCCATCTAGCAGGATTCCTGCTGTACATCTGCCCAGAGAAGCAGTGCTGGGATCTGTTTTCTACACGGTCAACTTTTCTGTGCAATAATATCGAGTTCAGGAATTCTCTGGCCCAGCTGCGCTTGGGGGCCTTTCTCACTAAGTCGTTTCCCTGCTTTGGGGACACTGCTTGCCAACTAGTTCCATTTGTGTTGCCCCCTTTTTTTCTGCCCATAAAATCAAACGGGCTGAGCTCTAACAGTCTGTAAGGAGTTAGATCCTTCACGTGAGTCGTCATTTGACTGGTCTCACTGGATTTGGCATTGCCTGCTCCAGAGATAGGTTGAATACTCTGCATCGACCACTGGCTGCTAAGGATCTGTGGATGTTCAGCCCCACTGAGGCTCAAACCCTTTATCCCCAGCATCATGCCACTTGTGCAGGAATTCCCCTTTTGTTCTGCAGACAGCTCAGCTACTCCCTGGTATCCAAATGGGACTGGATTGAAACTGCAATTCCCAAAATGCACAGCCGCAGAATGCATGGGGTTGGCTTAGCTCTCGCACCAAGACTGGTGAAAGGCCAGTGTTGACGTGGTGGTGGGTCAGTAAGAGAGGAACAGGTGTGGGGAGCCACCTTAGTATTTGTGTTAGTTAAAGACTATTTCAGTGTAACAAGCTACATGAGCCTGGAATGTCATGTCATCTAGCAATGCCTAGTGGTTAGCAAATGCCCGTGGGAGGTGAAGTCCAGGTTCTAATCCTCTCGGCGCTGCTGATTTGTCATGTGACTTGGACAAGCCGCCTGACCCTGTGGAGGATAATACCAGCCACCGTGGAAAAGGGCTCTGGGATTTTTAGGTGAAAGGTGCTTCTGAAGTGCAAAGCATTAATTGTTGCTATTACACATTGAGAGGGCTGCTTTGATGACAGTTGGGTATGCCAGGGAATAATAGCTACAAATTGAGGTCCCTGTCTCCTGGCCACACACAGGCACAGTTGCCAACTTTCATGCGATAAATAAGCACCCCAACTTTCACAATAAGCCAAAAATCAAGCTAATCCCATTTCAAAACAAGCCAATCCCTAAGAACCCCAACACTCTGTGTGACTAGATCCCCCTGGCATGTAGTCTGGGGCTGTGGTGGGCCCGCTGTGCACCCCAGACTCTCTCCCCCCTTTGCTCCTGCTTGCCGGGAGCCGATCAAAAAAAAGAAACAACAAGCTACAAGCCAAAACTAGCCAACAAGCAACTCACAAGCCAATTAAGCCAAAAACAAGCCCAATTTCTGCATTTTTTTCTCGGGGTTGGCATGTCTGCAAACAGGCTGCACTGTGTGGTCTGCTAATTTCCTGACCATTTATGCTCTTTACATTCTTGCCTTGTAGTTATGTTTTTTAAAAATGCTTCACAGACTGACAACCACTGCATTTGCTTTTCAGTCTAAGGACCAGTCTTTACAATAACCTCCCATATGACAACTCTTCTGATTTCCTATCTGCAAACTAAGCATTGATCAGCTGAAACAAAACTCTCCTTTAGAGGACAGCAAAACCTCCCTCTGCTACATCCCAGATGCTTAAATCTCCTCCTTTCTAGGACAAGGAACGGGGGACAGGAGTTTGGCTAAAGAGGCTTAGGCCTGGGCTACATCAAAAACGTAGGCTGACCTAGTGACATTGCTCAGAGCTATGAAAAATTTCGCACCCTGTGCCACGTAGTTAGGGTGACCTAACCCCCGCTAGACATCGCTAGGTTGATGGAATAATTCTTCTATTGACCTAGCTTCCGCCTCTTGGAGAGGATTAACTGCATCCATTGACGAACTCTTTCTGTCGGTGTAGGAAGCATCTGCACTATGGTGCTACAGTGGCACAGCTGGACTGCTGTACTTGTGCCGCTGTACTATAGACATATCCTTAGATTTTGAATTTAAATCCTCTTTGTGGGTGCAGCTTTTTCACTTCTGGCCAGGGGGCAGATTTCCATTCCTAGGGAGAAATCCCTTTCCACTTCTGGGATGGCTTGGATACTAGAGTTACTGAAACATTTCCCCATCTACTTCTGGTAGCTCCCTCCTTAAAGATGTTCCTTTTGCTGTTCTAAGCGGAGGCAGGTTTCATTATCAGCATCTGGCCGCATGCCCCTCTGTATATTTCTTGGCATGTGCTTCTCCATAGTAGACCCCAATCTGAGTGGTGGTAGGAACAGTAAGACGTTGAGACCAGTGCTGCTGCTCCATTCATATAGAGGGTGTCTAATTACAAGACCTTTAGAGCACTTTGTGCTACAGTTTCAATGATGTCCCCATATGTCCCATATTTCTATGACCTTTTGTTTTGAATTCTCTCATCTGCTGAGGTGCTTCTTATACTGGCTCTTACCTGCTGCCTCGCTACTTTCGGCTTCAGGGCTGAGAGTTGGGGATGCCCTCTGGGTATAGGATTTTCTCCCACTCAAATTAGTTGTATTTAAATTTCAAACTTAAATGTCACTCATTGCTGTTGGTTTGTGCTTTAAGCCAGCTGCTCTTGTCACAGAGGAACTTGCTTCACTAGGTGAAGCTAGTTTTTTGGGGGGAAGAAGGAGGAGGGAATTCTCCTTGCACAACCTTTGTCCATTCCTAGAATTGAAATGTTGGTTTTTTAAAGATAGTTTGTTCAGACCGAAGAGTCTGGTGGGTCTCAGTGCAGGCTTCAGCAGGGGTCTGCAGTACAAAAACCTTGCTGTATTTGGCATTAATGCAGTATCAGCAAAAAAAATAAAAATAAAGCCACAGATTGAATGGGCACTGAGATTTAAATACCCGTTTCCAGTGGATTATCATGGTTACAGCTCTCGCCATGTTGGAAGCTGATTTGTTCACTAGATCATTTACCAGCTAATGCTAAGAGATGGTTGATGTTTTGCCTATAGAAATAAGTTACCTAAAACTACATTTTAGCAACCAAACTTTCCAGAAGATTGGAATAAATAATGCCACTCTAAGTTGTATTTCTGTCACCCCAGATGCATGCACATTGTCATATAATTATGCCGTTTCATTGCTGAATGTTGTTAAGTGTTGAAAGCTAGAATGCCGTTGCCTCAGTAAGGGCTTGTCTACACTTATCGGAGGGTCCGGCGGCAGGCAATCGGTTTTCTGGGATCGACTTATCGCGTCTAGTGAAGACGCGATAAAATCGATCCCTGATCGCTCTGTCGTCGACTCCGGAAATCCACCGCGGCAAGAGGCGGCAGCGGAGTCGGCGGCAGCGGTCGACTTTCCCCCGTCCTCACCGCCAGGTAAGCCGACCTAAAATACGCAACTTCAGCTACGGTATTCACGTAGCTGAAGTTGCGTATCTTAGGTCGGACCCCCGCTGTAGTGTAGAACTAGCCTAACGCTGCTCAGTGCTTCTGTCCTTGGAGCTCCAGTGTTATCAGTACTAACAGCTGATCATGCAGCCTGCTAATTCAGCAGACATCAATGTTACTCAGAAAGAAAGACCCTAGGCATGGTTCAGTGACAAAGGCACTCAACCAGGTTTATTGCCCTCAAGGCATAGTCCTGGTGCCCTGGCTCTGTGGTTACAGGTACACTAGCAAATGAGTGCCCTGTGGCAAGGAATGTCCCAGTCAGCAGCAGAAATTTCTGCTGTCCCCTAGACTATACAAAGGGTTAGGGTGAGATACCCCGACATTTATAGACTGAGACAAACAACTGGGATAAACATCTTACATACCACTTTACATGTTTCATGACAGCTGTTTACCTTCCCTTGTTCCTGATATCTCAGACAAAACATCCCTATTCATTATTTGTCACACCAACTTATCTTGTACTAGATTGGGATGTATCTGTACTAGCTGGAATATATTTACGTACATATCTAGTACCTAGTCAACTAGCAACAACTTTGCCAAGTTCATGTACCGGATGCTTATCTGCTTTAATACATGGCCTGACTTTGGTTCGTAGCCTCTGGTTCAGGCCTGAGATCTTGCACCAGGGCCAGTGCTCCAGGCTCGCGCTCTCTCTCTCTCTCCTACACTGAAGTCATTCCACTTCTTTGGTAGAAGGAGCCAGCTGCTTAGATTAGAAGCTGTTTGGGGCAAGGCTCTTTGTTCAGTGTTTGTGCAGCACCTCGCACAGTGCGTCCTTGTTCCATGACTGGGGCCCCCTAGGCACTACTTCAAGACAAATAATGGGCACACAAAATAACAGAAGGGGAGAGGATAGGGGTCCCTATTCACAGAAGCGTGCACAATGTCCATGAAAAGCTGATAGGACCATAGCTTTGACATTGTGTGAAAGCCCACTCCCCGACACACATCGAACTCCCTGCAACTTAACTCTGTATGTGTATCTGCTGCTGGAGGATAGATAATGGGTAGGTATAACCAGAAATCACTGCAGGGTCATGCTTCCCCATGCTGCATTGCAGACAATCACTAACAGCCTTGGTTAGCACATAGGTTAGCTGTTCACTCATCCAGATGCCAAAGTGGGGGCGGGGGATAATGAGGCAGGCCAAGAGAGATAAGGAAAAGAGAGCTTTTAGCACATCCCTCTCTGCAAATGTCCCGAGGACTCCTGAGCAGAGAATAATGGTGTGCACAGAGGAGGTGTCTTAAAGCACACAGAAGACACAAGATATTTAACAAACAGAACTTCCAAGCCCACATGTTCAGCAGGCAGTTGTTTAAGGAAATGTTCCCTCGCCTGTAACGATGATAAATCACTTTCTGCATCATGCCATGCCTGGAGTTGTGGGTAACGTTGTTGGGTTTTTTTGCCCCTCTCTCGTAGATCTCAGACCTGATACAACAAAGCACAAAGGAGTCCCCGCTCTGGGAGTTCCTCAGCCTGGGCTACGCGCTCATGCTCTGCCCATTTGTCGTCGTCCTCGGAGGGATGTTTTTCCTGGCCACGGCCCTCTTCTTTCTAAATGACCGCACCAAAGCTGAACAACAGTGAGTAGCCAGGCAACCAGGAATGGGGGAGGGAGGGGAGCATGTTATCTCATACCACAGTTAGGTTTGGAGTGTTTCACCAAGCCCTTCCAGGTAAAGGATGCAGCAGAGCACATGATGCCACAAAAGGCACTGGGAATTGGTTATGCTGGTTTTGCATCCTTGATAAGTTTCTGCTTCCAGGGGTTCTCAACCATGGGCTGCAACACTCTGGGGCCAGCACCTGATTTTAGACTGCAGCCTCCTTTTGATCTTTTATTGCGTGGGTGTGTCCAGGGGGCACTCAAATCCTGTCCATTTGGATTAAGATGGAGCATTGCATGCTGGGAGCTGTACTCTCCCAGGGCCACCTCTCCACATTAAAGCAGAGGATGAACGTGAGCCACACTGTAGTGCTCAGTGGTTAACTTTTAGCTCATGGCTACAGAATCGGGCCACCGTCGCACTACTCGCTATGTGAAATAGTCAAAAGGAGCAATTGAGAAAATTAAAAACATTGTGTCTGTGGGGGGTGGGGGGCAGAGTGGAGATATTACACATATATAAGTCCCGAGTTGTTATGTGAAAGATAGTCTTTCCTGGTTCCTAATTACAGCTTATAAAAAAAAGCTACGTGTTTTTCAGTAAGGAAACCGATTCAGATCACTTCACTGTTGGCAACTACAGTAACTCAGAAGACGCTTCCACATGACACACACAGTTTTTGGGTTAGTCTCTTTCTCGTAATCCTTGCACAAAAATATGACTCTCTGTGTATTATGTTCATGTTGAGAAGACTGGCAGTGCTTGGGCCGGTGTTTGCCCGAGAGTGGCCTTTGTGTTGCTGTTGCTTAAGAAGGAGATGACGTTATTTGCCCTGACAGAGGCCCAATCTGCATTAAGGAAACTTGCAGTGGTGCAGCTACATTGAGGTAGATCCGTTGCCCGAATGCAGCCTACCTCGATACGGTTCAGGATGCTGCTGCCCTCCAGTGCAGCACATCTGCATTCGGGGCTGTGCCGGTGTAGTAACACTGCTGTCGTTACACCAGTTCAAATCTCCTCAATGCAGAGCGGTGCAGAGCCTTAACAGGGCCAAACGTGTGTGTCTGTCTGCAAGCCAGGCCCAGGGGAGGGAGAAAAAACCCTGTTCTAGTTTTAAAAAGCCACATGTCCCGGCATTATCGGATATGAGAAATCTAAGAGCAGAGTGAAGTGTTGGGAGTACCTCGCTTTGTGAATACATGTGAATGGCTAGAAGCACTTTCTGGCTCACAGGCAGTTGATAACTGAGTATGGGCTGTGCACATGGCCAGCTGGATCTCTCTGGTTCTGCCATTCCTTTTCCTTTTTATTAGTCCCTGGGGTTCATGGGCCCTTTGTGCTAGGTGCCGGGCGGACATGCAGTCAAAAGCTCACAATCTGGGTTACGTCGAGATGCACCAAGTGGATGAAACAGCTAGATGGGTGGGGAGAGAAGACAGAGTGACAGTAAGCCAAGATGTCATACATTCAGCATCAGAGGGGTAGCCGTGTTAATCTGAATCTGTAAAAAGCAACAGAGGGTCCTGTGGCACCTTTAAGACTAACAGAAGTATTGGGAGCATAAGCTTTCGTGGGTAAGAACCTCACTTCTTCAGATGCAAGTAATGGAAATTTCCAGAGGCAGGTATAAATCAGTATGGAGATAACGAGGTTAGTTCAATCAGGGAGGGTGAGGTGCTCTGCTAGCAGTTGAGGTGTGAACACCAAGGGAGGAGAAACTGCTTCTGTAGTTGGCTAGCCATTCACAGTCTTTGTTTAATCCTGATCTGATGGTGTCAAATTTGCAAATACATTAAGCAAAGGTTTCTGCTGCTTAGCCCCCAGACCATTTTTTATGCGTCACCAATAATTGTGGGAAGGGACCTGTTTACAAGTTGTCTTCTAACCAGTGTGCAACCTGCTTCCAAGTGGTAGCCTGGACAGGACCCCGTCATGTCCCTTGTAATTGAATTACAGCCTTGCACAGTCAAAGACTTTAACCTGGCTTTGGGGACGTGTTTTTGTCCACCCCGCACTGCCCCTTTTAGCGATGTGTTGCCCTGTCCCCGACTCTGTTAGCGTCATAAAGCAGATGGTGCCTAACCGTGAGTCAACGTGGTAATCATTGTGGGGATGCAGTGAGGTGAACGGATGCTTCTGCTACAGCAATAGGAACTCAGGCTGGCTTTCGCTGCCAGAGGGGCCAGAGAGTCCAGGGTGATAACTGGATTTAATAACAACATGTAACGTTGCCATGTGATGAGTTTAAAGAAATCTCATTCTGCAGGGTGGTTGGCAGCAGTGCGAATCTTTGCTTGTGGACCACATCTCTGTTGTGAGAGCAGCCGGTAGTGCTGAGCAACCTTCTCTGCACTTAGTTCAGTGTGATGCTTCGTCCTCAGCTGTGCACGTGAATAACTAGCACCTGCACTAGACGATTAGAGTGTGGGAGAAACCGCTTTCAGGCAATGGCGACTCTGAAGCACCAGCCCAGGCCAGACCCCTTTGTGGCTGGTGAATTCTCTGCAATGTCTGGCTAGTGTTATGGTTCTGGAAGAGCCCTTATTTGGTCCAAGAAAGGAGGGTGCTCCACAGCTTGTATTGAAAATCCCCCCGCTGTTAGTTGACCTCGTCTAGGTGCCAGTGTGCAGTGGCATATTTTACCCGATCCTTTTACAGCGCAGCCCTGCAGCATGCAAGATCCGTTGGCTGGGGTGACTTGATATATGCAAACCCAATCTTAAGGGACGGGAGCCCCCAAGCGTCCATTTCCCCAGAATAAACATAAATCACTTGTATCTAGATGGTTCTCTCCACCCTGAGCAGAGCCCTCCCGTATTCTTCTCACGTCCAGAGCCACCCAGTTTCCTTCCCCTTAGTCATTCCATTTAGCAAAGCAACAAACGCAGGCCTCCAACCTATTTTTATTTCTGTCTCCTCTTCAGCATCCTTCCCCTTTCCATTCTCTGTCTCACTCGCATCTGGTTGTGCATTACTGGTATTTGGCTGGCGCTCCTTCGTGCGCTGTTGCTGAGTGGCTCAGATAGAATGCAGATAGAACAGTTACTATAAATCACGACTGGCGAAGCAACTTCTCTGCTTTTCGGTCTGCAGAGAACAGTTATTCCCTTGTTAAAAATACTCTGCTGTCCTACAGTCACGCTCCAGGACGGTGTTGCTTACTGCAATGTTTTGGATCTTTACTGCGGAATACTACTGTATTTGTAATAAGTATTAGTAACCTTTGAGTTCTGATCCTCTGAGTCACCGCCAGGCCACACCGCCTCTTCCCTCCTCCCGCTCGCCATCTGGGGTGGGCATGCTGTCAGGGTTGTCAGCCTGTTCCTGATTTGCTCAGCACCATAGATCCCCAGGCAGGTCCCACTGGAACGGGTGCATTTGTGGGGTGGGGGAGGAGCAGGGCTTGAGTGTGGCTGAATACATAGTGGTGATAAAAAAGCCGAGTGCCTTGGGATTAGGATCTCCGGCTACCACCTGTATACGTGCTTCCTGGCTGGTGGAAACAGGCAGTCTGTACATGGCATTATGCATCTTTAGCTAGAATAGTTTCCTTGCCTGGCCGATCCCCACTTCCACCCACCCATTATAGGCTGGGCACAGAGCCCTGCTCTTTCAGGAATCCGTGTTCTCCTCTACCAAGGATCCTGCCGATCAGTCATCAGGACTCCCAAATGTGCCCTGCCAAGTGAAATTGATTAACCTGCAGGAATCGAAAGCCCCAGTGTCACGCCAGAGATTAAACCCATTCATCACAGGTAGGGTCAGGTCACAAAGGCTGGAGGTCACAACCTGACTAATGAATAAATATGGGGGCCAAGAGGTGTAATTCTGTGGCCTGGAGTCCTCCTCTGCTGAGGGAGAAGGGAGAGATGGATCTGTCCTATCTCTAATTGCCAGGCTAAAAGACAGTTCAAGGTTTCTGGCTTGTGCTTGGGTATTTGCTTAGGAAAAATTTCCTCATCCAGGCAGCACAAGCTGTAAATAGAGCAACCCCCTCTGACCCCTTTTGAAAAGCTGCACTGCCGTTTCCACCACACTTCCTTTTTAGAAGAGAGAATGTAAAAGATGAAACCTGTCAATCCCTCGCAGTGTCTTTATACTCCTCTTGTCGCCACGGCAGCTCCTGGCCTACTTTGTGGATTACTTTTTTAGCATGTTAAATCCAGTTGATAAAGCTTTTTTCCCCCCACTGTAAAGACGAATCAGAAAATCTCATAAGAGCAATACAATGAGCCTTCTCCTTTCAAATGAGATTGTTCTCAAATACTGGGTCTTTCACATACATAACAGGGCCTTGGAAATATACCAACTGCAAGAGGTTTTCAGTAAATTTAGGAATGACACAAGAGGAGAACAATCTGGACATCATTTAGTCCATAATGTAACCTAATTATTTTTGGTGTGTTTTCACATATACAAAAAATATTCCCCCCCCCCCCCCCCAAAAGTGATTAGAGAGAGAGGGATGTCTATAGAGGTCTTGGCTACCTATAGTAATTAAAATTCTCTCAATCCTTTTTGTAAGAACAGGAGTATTAGTTTTGGGCCTTGGTCACATTCAGACATGGGTAGGTACATTGTTCACCTGAAATTTCTCCTGTTGTTGCACTTGAATGAATACGATGTCACTTCCTGTTTTGTAGTGCCGCGGTGCACTGTTAAACAGCTGTTGTGTTGCTCTCTGGGGATGGCAGCAGGTTATTTGTGGGTGGACTGAGCCTCCTAAAATATCCCTACCTAAGGTATAAAGGTGTTGTGGGCTTAATTCATGTACTTGAAGTCTGAGATTCTTTCAGTGGTGTATACAAGTACAGTATTATGATTGCCTGGCTGAGTACATACAGCAACAGAATGTAAATCTAGTGATGTGGGTTTCACTCTTAGCTCTGCCATTGCCTTCCTGCAGGACTCTGGGGGAAGTCAATTCGAGCCTGATTTTCTGACATGCAGAGCATCTGCAGCTCCATGGATTTCAC